AGCAGCAGCAGCAGCAGCAGCAGCAGAAGAAGAAGAAGCAATGGCAAAACCACCCCCGCACCACATATCGGTGCGTGCTGTTGGGTTTCACCTTTTGTATTGTATTCCCATTGAACAGTTTGGAACAACCCAGCATCAGTCATGGGAGGAACGAAGAGGACGTGAGTTCGATTCCCAGGTGAGTGAGTCGGCCCAAGTTAGCCATGACACCCCGGCCAGCCTGCCATTTAACTATCTAAATTGTGTTGATGGGGGTGAAAAACATGTATGCTCTTTCGCAACAAGTATCACCCCAACCATCCCACCCCTTTATCTATAGAATGAAGCTGTTAAAACAAAGCATTAAGACCGGCACCTGGAGGGTGGCGATTAAGCACGTCGCCGTCACACGCAGAAGATCCGGGTATGATTCCTGGTTTGGTTTGACAGGCACAGTTGAAGCCTTCCTCCTAAATGATTCAAATTGCATCGATGTGAGAGGGAGGATGGCAATCCGACATTAAAAAAGAGCTTGACCTGTTGAGGACACGCATGTGTGATTCGACAACTATTGAAGACAAGCTGTTTTGGGTTTCTTGAAAAAAGAAGAAAAAACTTCCACACACTTTTTTCACTTCTGTTTAAGAGTGGCAAGCAACAACATGCCTACTGTCAATATTTCAAATTGGTGTGTCAAATTTGTGTGATGGTTCCAAAAGTGACACAACATTGCCTTTGGTCTGCTGCTGATCGGGCGTGCGTATGTGTCCGCTACGTCTGCAGAGAGTTTTTTTAAAACTCATTCTACTGACCCAAAAGACATGTCTGACCTACCTGTAGCTCCCTCAAATAGAACAGACATTTGGCAGATGGATACGCACGTTGGGAGTAGGCGAACAACCTAAGGTGTGTACTGTTCAGCAACTGTGGTTCATCGATTTTTGGGACATCAGGCTTTGCTGAAACACAAACATAGAGTGGATTGTTCCAACTTCTGAACACAGGTTAAAGGAGGTACAATAAATTCGTTAGTTGCAAACAAAAAATACACTCTGTAATTTTTATCCGGGGAAGATGGGATCATGTGCTTACAAAAAAACAACAAAAATAATACAACACAAAAAACGTGTGGTAATTTTACGCGAGAATAAAATCCAATTTGAACAGGTGAGTTTAAAACCGTGTTTCAATTTTTGAGTCGAAAAAAGCACGTT